AGCAACAGCATGCATCTCAATGCATGCATTAAATACAGCATGCATCTCCATGCATGCGTTAGATACAGCATGCATCTCAATGCATGCGTTAAATACAGCATGCATACCATGCATGCTTTATATAACGCATGCAATGCATGCTGTTGAGTTTTCAGAGTATTCACAGTGACAACAAAAACATGAGACGATGCTACGATCCTCACCGTTCTGCGATGGCGTGATGGGCCGGCACTTGCACGCGAACCTCAGCTTGCAGTGCGACTTGCGGTGCTCGATCAGCTCGCCGAGGTCGGTGAAGAGCTCCCTGCAGTTGCCGCAGATGAGGACGTCCGGATTGCCTGAGAAAGGGGAAAAAGAAATGGAAATCAAATCGCATAGAGAAGCGTCACAGGAGGTAAGCGAAATTTAAGGTTTTTGCACTCATGTTTCTATCTCTATATCGGTAAGCGCGTGACATTGAGCACTAAAGAGAATAAAAAATGTCACGTGCAACAATTTGCGTTTATCGTTCTAAAAGCGCACGCCTGTCTGAACGTTCCCGGTCCGATGGAACAAGGACGTAAATGCAGATCGACCGGCTGCACATTGCAAGAAAATACGGAGCGAGGGGAGGAAGGGCGGCTGTGAATCTTACTGTAGGTCTTAAGCAGCGACAGGTCGGCCGCGCTCACGGTCGTCGTCTGCTGCGTCGTTGTCGGGGGCGGCGGCGACTGCTGGTGCTGGAGTTGGGGCAGCTGGGGCTGCAGAGGCTGCGGTACAGTTTGCTGCTGTTGCTGCTGCTGTTGCTGCTGCTGCGTCGTCTGCTGGGCCTGCTGGGCCTGCTGCGCTTGCTGCTGCTGCTGCTGTTGTTGCTTCTTGCTGGACCGGCTGGGCGCGGCGATCAGCCTTGGCCTCTTGAGGGGCGGCGCCAGGCGCTGCGCCACCGCGGCGAACGGCGCCGTGGAGTAGTAGCTGCCAACAGAAGAGCGCGAAGCACGGCTCAGCCTCCCGCTGCGGGTCTCCCATACACACAACACGACGTCCCTCACGAGTAATAAATGTATCGCACACAAGAAAAAGGAAACGGCTTTTTGGGCCCAACACCACCCCGCCCGCCGCACTCCGCCGGAACTTATATTTCCTCCGCCACTCTGCGCGGGCCGCACCTCTTCCACCCGGCCCACCGCCACGCGACGCCCTGGGGGGCGAAAATGTAACCCCCATGTCACGAGACCCCTAAGAGAAAATAGACGTCTATTAGATGTTTAATAGACATCTACTGCTAGACGGCAATTTGTCTAATAGACGTCTTCGGTAGACATCTATTAGACCGTCTTGATTGTCTCTATCGAGGCATCTTTTAGACGTCTATCAGTAGACGTCTATATTTAGATGCCTTTTAGATGACATCTAGATATTTATAATTTTTTTATAATGCAACCTTCACATTCAAAAATAATTCTATATTTTCTTCCTCTGGCGCTTTTCTTCTTTCTCTTTGGTAGATCGTTATCTCGATTGTAACTCATTGAATTGATTAATTCTTCCTATTTTACCTTACCTTGGCCGGTTTCGAACCTCGGAACTGCGGATTGGGAACCCTCGACGCTGACCACTACGCCACGAGTTGCCTCCTACGTGAGGTCAGTCTGGTTCCGGTAGCATTCGTCTTTCCAGACTCGGGACTCTTTCCCTTCTGATTTAGAGTGGCCAAGAGACCTACCGTTGATATTACGTTTAAAGTCTGCAGGTGTTTTTTTACAAGCGAGCGCTTGGGTACAATTATCTCAAGGTGATCAAAAATTTCATACCCTGCTGCGTTAAAAATCCTAAAGCTTGAACGTCTAAGGTCATAGATGGGTTAGATTGGAGTTAGATCGTCTCGGCACGTCTAAACGTCGTCTATCGCTAGACGTCTAAGGTTGTTGATGGGATGGATGAGAGTAAGATCATCTCGACACGTCTACACTGTGTCTAGTGCTAGACGTCTAAGGTCGTAGATAGAGAAGATAGGGAATAGATCATCTAGACACGTCTACACTTTGTCTAGCGCTAGACGTCTAAGTACATAGACAGGTTAGACAATAAATAGATCGTCTCGGGTCGTCTGTTTTTCGACGAAACCTAGTCGTAGATGTGAAAAGATGTCTACTAGACCTCTTTTGGTCATCTACGTCTAGTCGTCTAAAAACTTAGACCAGCTAGACGGGCATTAGACGATCTATCGAAATCTATAGACGTCTATTTTCTCTTAGGGGGCAGCCAGCCACTCACACATATCAACGTATTCCGTCCGGGTAGGGCGTGGCGGGGCGTGGCAGGGCGTGGCGGGGCGTGGCGGGGCGTGGCGGGGCGTGACGGGGCGGGGGCGCTGTCCCGCCCTTCACCGTGGAGGTAGCCCGACCATACTCCCGCCCCGCCCATCCGTCGTCTCATCCGCGAGAGCCAGAGGCAGACCTGCCTTTCCCTGCATTTCTCCGCCGTAGAGAAATGTGTCCTCTCCCGCCCGGGCCCGTAGCGAGGTGAAAGGCAACCGTCACCGAGGAGGACGGCGGGGCGGGGCGGAGCGAAGAAACGAGACGGAGACGGCCCAGCCCTGCCCCGGCCGGGCCGTGAGCCAGGGTGTTGGGTGTTGACAAATCACAGTCGAGTCGCGTCGCAAGCCCGACTGCCGCGACTCAAAGGGGGCGACTCTCTGAAAACTGCGCGCGCGCGGATGGCGCCGCGGGTCTCTGCGGCACATTGTACAACATCGACTGACTGGGGACGGAGAGATGCGCTATCTCTTTGCGTGTGATTACACAGCGACTGGACGGGAAGAAAAGGGTGGCGGGGCGGGGTGTGGCTTTGGAGACCCTCTCGGCGCGACACCGCCGTCGTGGTCCACCCTCAGGGCCCCACAGGACCACCAGGACCATCAGGTGGACGGGGTGCCCCAAGGGGACGGGGCCCCTCCTGCAGCATAGTGTGTGTGTGGGGAGTGCGGGGGGTGGGGTTGGGGCTGACTGCAATGAACGCCACTGCCGCACGTACGGCCCCGGCTCACAAACAAACAAGCTGGCAAGCGCGTCCACGCGCACACATTAGCGCACGCATACACACACACACACACACGCGTGCACGCGTGCACGCACACACGCACGCGAGCACCGCGCGCTCCTCCCCGGCCGTCGGCCTAATGGAAGGCCACCGGCCCTATCTCTTAGCCAAGTGTCGTTTTGCGTGTCATATCTCCGGGGGGAATTTTAGCCCCAAGTTTGACACTGTGTGCGGAGGCAGCAGCAGCAGCAACAACAACAACAACAACATGTATGCGGGCGCGCATAGACACGCCATACGCCGGTGAGGAGGGGAGGGGGTTGTTTCGTGTGCAGTCTTTCCCCACCCCTCCCAGCGCCACCCCTCCCACCTTGTGTTTCACGACCGAAGGGATGAAGTAATTTTATTGTTTACGGGAAGCGCGAGCGTGAGCCATTGGCCCTGGCACCCACCTGTCCGCATTCACTGACTCCTCAGTGCCAGTCACACATTGGGCACACGACATGACATATCGGTGAGGAGGGAGGGGGCGACGGGGGGTATAGGAAGAGCGGGAGGG